TCGTGTGTAATTTTTTTTTTTTTACGTATTTATCCAGCTTATAATTTGGTCCTGGATCCGTTCCTTCTTAAACTGTCTCTAATGCATAGTTTTGTCCTTAAGCTCAACTAAACGAAAATTGATAACAACAATAAGTGCCAAAGTTGATGAATGTGTATTAGGAGATGATGCAATATAAAAATGATAAACAGTTGGCATTTAAGCGGCATGGAAGCCACCTAAGAACTATTGAATGGAAATTGTAAGGCCCAAAACATAATATTACAACGATCGAAAGTCCTCAAACACCAAATAAATTGCAGAAAACCAAAAACAAACAGAGCACAAGATTTTTCACCCCAAAGGGTCCGGATGTTCAATCTCAATGACACACTCACCCGTTGAGCATCGACAATGTGATATAGCTCTAGATCCACTAGTAGAAAGCAAGAATCAATACAGATGTATGAAGAAACCCACGGTTTCTTCATGTTCAATATAGTCTCAAATACAACATGTAATCTCACAACAATCAACCCCTAAACTGTACACAATATACAAATATTTACAAAGAAAAGAGATTAAAGAATCACACGGATCTATTACGGATTTATAGAAGAGAAAACTCCAAACTTTCACTCAAAGAGAAAGGGGAAAAACGAAGAGACCGAAGAATGGAAGTATCTCGAATCAGGGTGCCAAGACCAAGTCAAACATCTAAAATTGAACAATCACCATCCAAGAATCAGAGTAAAGCCACGTGTATGGCTAATCTTCAACCATAAAATAGGCCAGAACCGTTCCACTTAAGAGGCCCAATTATATAGATGGCCCAACAGGTCAAGAAATAGTGAGACGGTCCAAATTGTTAACAATCTCTACCTTGCCGAACTATTTATTGGCCTTCCTAATGGATCTAGATATCTTATATCTACATTGCTTCACTTGCTCGAAAAACCTGTAAAAAAAAATTAAAAATTAGTTCAACTTTTTTGCAGTAACAATACTTGTAGTTCTAATTATCACAATCATCAAGTGATATTCAGAATCTTGAAGCAATTTCTAAATTTATTCAAAGGTAATACCTTAGTCCCCAAATTTGAAGGATTAAATTCTGTAGGAATTTTAACTAAACTGATCAATCCTTATTCTGTCATGTTTCTTACAAAATGAAACTTTATATCTATGTATCTAGTTCTATCATGATAAACATGATTGTTACTTAAATGAATGGCACTTTGATTATCAATGTAAATGGTGACAGATTCATTTACAAACCAATTTCATTTAACAAACCTCTTAACCACATACTTTCTTTTACAAGATCACATGCAACAATGTATTCAGTTTCAGTAGAAGGCAAGGCAACTAATTTTTGTAACTGT